TTAATGGTCAAGATCCTAATTGTAAGTCCTTTTTTAAGGCGCGTGCTTTATTTAAGGGAATGGATCTTGGGTTTGAACACAATAATGTTAGAATGTGGTGTAAACATGGTGATGGTAGTTTAGAAACTGATCTAAAACTATTTAGGGATGATGGTGATTCATTTGAGTTAGCTGCCTTTTGGTGATCAGGTCATAAACTTACCTGTTGCAGATGGTGCAGGCTCTAGTGAGTCAGTGAAACATAATTTTACTACACCAGAGACGGGTAATGAACATGTAATTGAAGATGAGTATATGACTGATGAGCTTGATAGTGGTGTTGAAAATGATAGTGGTGATGATATGCCAAATGTTGTTAGGTTCAATGAGGAAGATGGAATTACAAAGGATTTTAAGTTCAAGGTGGGAATGCAATTTTCATCATTAAAGCAGTTTAAGAGTTCTATTTTGGAACATAATCTATTAAATGGGAGGGATGTGAGATTTGAGAAAAATGATGCAGTGAGATGTAGAGTGGTTTGAAAGGAAAAATCACAATGTAATTACATTGTGGTGTGTAGTAAAGTTTTAAAATCAATAACATTTAGAATTAAGACATTGTATGTTAAACATAACTGTGGAAGACAGTTTTTTAACAAAAGTGCCAAAGTTGATTGGGTTGCAAAAATAATTGTTGATAAGATGAAGAACAATAACAAAATGAAGTTGAATGATGTAATTGAAAATGTTAGGGTGAGATATGCTACTGAAATACCTGGTTGTAGGGCATTTAAGAAAAGACAGATTACGAAAAGGATAATAGAGGGAGACTCTAGCAAACAGTACAGTCTATTATGGTCATATAAGGCTGAATTGAGGAGGGCTTCACCAGGAAATACTTTTGAGTTGAACATTCAACTTCAGGTTACCCATGTCATATTTTGTTATAGTTTTGTGGTTGACTTGGCCAACCAAACATGTTCATGTAACTTTTGAGATCTCATTGGAATTCCGTGTAGACATACAATTTCTGCAATCCATAGGAAAGTAGACGATCTCATTAATTATGTCCATAAGTGTTATCACAATTCAAGTGTTATGAAGAATGTATCACTCCTTTGAATAGCCAAAATAAGTGGCCCACAACCAATGGTCCTGTCATTTTCCCTCCTATGTTCAAAAGAGTCCCAGGGAGGCCAAAAAAACTTAGAAGAAAGGAACCTGATGAATCAAATGTAACTAAGTGGCAAAGAACAAATATTACTCATAAGTGCAAGACTTGTTTGGAGTACGGTTACAACACTAGGACATGTAATAAGAACAAATAGACTCTTCTATAAAAGAACGAAAATATAACAACAAATGAACTACCTACGCAGGCAAGTCAGACTGGAAATGTTCAAAAGGCAACATCAAAAAAGGTTATTCTAGTGCTTTTGATTAATATTCTCATATGATTAGTATTTTTATTTTATTAGTATTTGTATAATGCTTTTCAAGAGAGGCCTAAGGGGTCACTGAATAAGAAAGGCAAAGGGGCTCCAAGTAAGGCACCAAGCCATGCATCAGTGGAAGATGCTCAGGCTGCACCACCACCAAGTCCAGATAGAGGATGATACCTTAATGAAATAGATCCAGATATACTAGAAGTAATTCTCAATTATATCAATAATGAAGAGGATATTGCTCTTGATATTCCACCTCTTGAAGTAGACTTAAGCCCTATCAAACAACAGTCTGTTGTAACCTAAGGTCATTCAAAGACATGTGGTGTCAAAACCTTCTTTGGGAGTGCACCAAAAGTCAAACCCTTCAAAGCATTCAAATCTCCGGGAAATGTCAAGAAAAATTGCAGTGATCCTGTAAGTTTGATTATACCATCTAATATGATTTACCTTTTTTGTCATTTAAGTTTGATCATGGTTGTTAATTGACAATTTAGGTCAAGTATATGCCTCTAAAGAAGAAACAAGACCCAAATGTTGTGGTGAATACCAGAAAGAGTGAAAGGCTCATGACTATAAAAACAAAAGACATCAAAAGGTCTAGAAGACATCCTGAAGATCCAGTTGTACTCACTGAAGAGGATACCTCAAAACAACCAATCAAGAGGAGTATGAAAAGTTTAGACGAAATTCAAAAAGGCTTAACTCAATAAGGATGGAATTTGAAGAATTTGAATTTAATGTTGTATCTCTGAGCAATGACTGGTATTTTAAAAATTTTAAGTTGTATCCATAAGTGTATTTTAAAGAATTTGAATTACTATATATTTTGGTTATGCTGCAATCTATGAGCAGTGACTTATAATTTTGGTTAGGATACAATCTAAGACCATGTATTGGATCATTTTAGGTATGTTATTTTAATGAATCAATTTTCTGTCAGTTTGTTGTCATATTGTTTGTCAAATTGTATGGTGCAATCTCTTTATTGACCTCAAATTGTTGTTTGTTAAATTAGAAAAATTATGTCAATTTTATAGGCCACAGTACACCAAAATTGAAGCAAACTATGTCAAAAAATTTAGAAGTGACTATGGCATATTTTAGTCAAATTGTGTCAAAAGTTTAGCAGAATTAAGGCACTTTTATGTCAATATTTAAGCAAAATTCTTTCAACTAAGGCAATGGCCTATCAAATTTATACAATTTCACACAAACTATAAAATTCAACATAATTTCATTAGAAACACGATGATTACACTGCTCAAACAACCTTACTTCAACAATTACATTTCATTATTAGGTACACATTAGTCATAAGAGAAACTGCAAAACTGAAAAACTTGATTTTTCCAGCTCATGCCTCTGATCTCAATTTCGCTTGCAGCTTCATGTTCTTATTCTTGAAACCTTCATACAACTTCCTCAACAGTTCAACCGTCTTCAATTCCTTCAGCTTGTTGACATGTACCTATTCAACAGAATTACCATCTTCTTCAACCAAATCTTCATCCCATATGAATAAATCACAAGTTTCTTCACTATGCCAAAATGGAGATCTTCGGAAGTGTCTACCTTTATTGCGACAATTCTTGCAGACGTATGAAACCATACGAACTTCACAACCGCAATTCCTTCATTGACGACATCTCACAGAGAACGAAGACATGTTCATGGGTTTCATAGCACTTGTTTTGGAATACGATATCAACCTTCATTTGATGATGACAAATTAGGTTTACGAGTGAGAAAGCTTCAACTGCGATTGGTTAGGAAAAAAAAAAAGGAATTAGGTCACAAAGAGGACGAAGAGCAACATCGTTTGATTACAAGAAAACTGAACTTAATAATGACTTGTAATCTATTTACACACATGAAAATTAATAATTATCTAATTATTTGAAAATATTTGTAAAATCATCGTCCACATAGGCTTCTGTTAAGTAGAATGGACGACAGGGACAAAAAAAAAGGATCAGAAAACTTTATAAGAATGATTCTTTAAACAAAAATATTTTAGAGACTAAAATTAGATTTAAAAATATTTATAGAGACTTGTAACATATTTAACCTAAATAAAATAAGAAAATAATCCATATAACCGACATCAGAATAAGGTTTCTTTGTCGATGTAAAAAGTTTTACACTGTCGATTAATCATCATCATCTATTTGTCTTATATTATAAGTGATTAAAATAAAAGTCAATATCTTTTAAACATTTAATGACTATAATTAACTGACAGTGTAAAATTCTTTTATAGTGACAATGAATTTCAATTAAATTCTTCGAAAAATTAAACCAATATCTTTTAAACATTTAATAACTAATCATCATCATCTATTTGTCTTATATTATAAGTGATTAAAATAAAAGTCAATATCTTTTAAACATTTAATGACTATAATTAACTGACAGTGTAAAATTCTTTTATAGTGACAATGAATTTCAATTAAATTCTTCGAAAAATTAAACCAATATCTTTTAAACATTTAATAACTATAATTAACTGACAGTGTAAAATTCTTTTACACTGACAATGAATTTCAATTAAATTCTTCGAAAAATTAAACCAACGGAAATTTACAAAGATGGGGTATGAGTATGTACCACATAAGAGTATTATTTGCATGTTACCAACAGTAAATCAGGCCACGAATAAACTACTATAAAAATGGTAAATTAGTAGCATTATTCATAATTTTTTCAATTTAAACTGCTATAATACAAAAATTATATATATCAAAAGCTTAAGATTTTTTGTACTTGTATACTTTATATACAGATGTAACTGATCCTCTAAAAAAAAGGTGTTGATCGATGACCCATAAACCAGGTGCGTCAAATAAGATCAATAAAATTGTATTTTTTAAGCTTTGGTCGCTATTTTTTGTATCTTCAAATTAAATTTCCCATTTATTTAATTAAATAGAAAAAATCTTAATCAAAAGATAGATACAAAAAAATTAATACTGATAGAACGACGTGATCATAAAAATCTACTCTTATTTTTATCTCTATCAATCTTCAACTAAAATTTCCATTTTTTTAATAAAATTTGAGTAATTCTACTAAACTCAAGGTGAATCCAAACAACAAACTTAGAGCATGATTAGTGGCGAGTAAATTTGAGTAAACAGTTGCGTGATTTTGAAACATTCAGAGTATGAACAGAGTTCTTGGCACACAAATACGAATGGCATGTCCGCACACTTAATAACAAGTTTTACAAAGAGTATATAAAATAATACTAGGCTGCAAATCTTTTTATTTTCGATAGAACAAAATTGAGAATAGGTCTGCAATATATATAGAAAACAAAAGGTCAGGAATACATGCCTGGCATGAAATTTTGATTGCCGTAACAAATTCAACTGAATCATAAAATAGAACATTTTGTTGACATGCTCTTCAACAGAACCAAGGAGTCCAAGGAGTCCATAAGCATTGGAAGATAAATGAGAACTCAGTATCAAAAATAATTCCAGAACTCAGACTGTGTAGAGTACAAAAATCAGTAAATCCGGCACAATATAAGGCAAGACCCCCAAAGGCCACAATGGCACTGGTAATAAATCATGGACGATCACGAGAATTCCTGGAAGATGACCATGATGAAGATGACCTTGAACCCCCACCAAATGAAGTGCCACGGTCCCACCTGTCACCATCTGGCCTGCTGCCACTGTTGGCCCAACGATCTGCTTCTGGAGGAGCAGCAGCTGCAGCCTCAGCTCCTGCTCGCCGGAACTTGGGAACATATTTCCCAGGAGCTGGGGATGCGGATGCTACAGAAACAGCAGGGCGAGACTCCAATGGACGGGCAGGAGGCTCATAGGGCCTCATGGCTGGTTCAGTTGGTCTGCCCAGCAATGCTTCCCTCTTTTCCCTCTCAATTTTTTCATCAATTTCTTGTTGTCTTTTCCTCATCTTTTCAGCCATCTCATCCAATTTAGCTTGGTGTTCAGCCTGTTCCTTCTTTTTTCTCTCAGCCTCTGGAGTTCAAAAACACCACAAACATGTTATCTAAATACAAAATGGAAGATAATCTAGTGTATTGTTTAATAGATAGTACACGCGGATTCCACAGAAAACATTAACTAATGAAGAAAGAATGAAATACAAGGGATGGGATTAAATATAAAATCATGTCAGCTTTGCTAGAATTCAATTAAATAGACGCTTTTAACAAGTCTTGTATAATCCCTTCAATGCGGACATGAAAAATAAAACGCGAGCTCAGGCTTCTATATGATATTCCAGAAAAACAAAATAATAATGATTACCTTCACGCTTTCGAGCTTCTTCCTCCTCACGCAATTTTTGCCGTCTCTCTTCTTCAACAATTAGATAATACTTCAACTTCCTCATTTTATCCCTCTCCTGTTTCCTAGACTGTAAAATCCTAGATATACGTTCCTCCCTTTCTCTTCTCAATCTGTTAAATTCTGCTTGGCGATGACTGACAACTTTCTCTTGATATATCTCCTGTAAAGTCAATCAGGTGTAGAAATATTAATAGTATTTATACCAGGAAATTTAATAATTGGAATTCTGACTTTTATGATGACAAATAACATCAATTGTTAAAAGTTCATCATTACTGATGATTACAAAGAAAGTAGAATATAGGTTTATGATCTAACTTTATAGCCCATCATTCGACTAAGCCTCTCTTTCTCCTTGAGATCACCAGCATGGCGCTCTTCGCTCAGTTCAACCTCTTGCTGCATCAAACCAATGTCTAACAGTTAAAAATTATTACAAGAAATTAACTTGTTTAAATAAAAATTTACAAATGAAGATTCAGTTCCAATGAGATGAAAAATATGAAAAAAAAAACAATTATTTCAATCAGAGCATAAATAGACATTACTTGTTGCTCATGTTCGTGAAGAACCCTCTCTTCCACTAAGCGTTGCTGATATGCAGCTTCAATAAGTGGAGCAGCCTCTTCTCTCTTTGCTCTTTCCAAATAATCCATGGTTTTAGCTAATTTCTGCAGTTTCTTCTCCATTTCCTGCTTCTCCCGGTGTTGTTCAATCAAAGCCAACTCCACCAAGGTTTTCTTAGAAATTACACCCTACAGATAGAGGTTGTAGTTAGCATTGGCGTAACAAACAAACCAATAACTTAATTGATTGCAGGCTTCAACTTACCCCGTCTATGATGGGCTTTTTACCCTTTCTCTTGAAGCGCTTTTCAGCTTCCTGAAGAATAGCCTGAGCTTCCTCTTTATCTTTCTCCTCCATTTCCATTTTGAGTCTTTGTTTTTTCCTCAGCTCAACCTCGGTTTCGAGCCGCTTTCGCTCTGCTTCTTCAGTAAATTTCTGCAATCTTAATCTCTTAGACTCCTCCTCACGTTCTTGTTCAAGAAGCTGCCGTTCTTGTTCCTCTTTCCTCTTCTCAATAATTGATTTTCGAGCAAGAAGCCTCTTGTGTTCTTTGGCTACAACCTCTGGCAGAGTCGGAAGCAAGCCTCCGTGTTTTGATCGTTGCGCATCAGGTGGGCAAATCATTTGCCTTGCCTTGTTCAACTGCTCAGCAAAACTTGCCAAGTGATCCCTCAAGCCATCAGCCTCAAGACTCTGGTAGAAACCAGGCAATTGCCATAACATTTGGTAAGAGACAGTACTAATATACAATTAAAATGTCGGATCTGAGATTATGTGTAAACAAATATAAAATTTCGCCGCCTAAACCATAACAAAAGTTTATGTGAACATCTTAGTATAAGCAATAGATATCGGTGCAAACAAAATAATCTCAAACAATTTATGAGAAATAATGTTTCTGCAGACCGAAGATTGATCATCAAACCACCGTATTTCTCAAATAACATGCACAAACCACCTAAAGCAATAGTCAACCATCTATCTTATCTGGAACAGGTGCTACCCCAATTCTCTCTACTATTATCATTCCAACTCACCCATTCTTAAGACTCTGGTAGAAACCACGCAATTGCCATAACATTTGGTAAGAGATGGTACTAATATACAATTAAAATGTCGGATCTGAGCTTATGTGTAAACAAATATAAAATTTCCCCACCTAAACCATAACAAAAGTTTATGTGAACATCTTAGTATAAGCATCAGATATCGGTGCAAACAAAATAATCTCAAACGATTCATAAGAAATGATGTTTCTGCAGACCGAAGATTGATCATCAAACCACCGTATTTCACAAATAACATGCACAAACCACCTAAAACGATAGTCAACCATCTATCTTTTCTGCAACAGGTGCTACCAAAATTCTCTCTACTATACTATTATCATTGCAACTCCAACATTCTCTTCAAACAATAAATATACCTACTGTAGAGTAAGTTTAAAAAAGGAAATTGAACCAGGATAAGGAAAACATACCGTCTTGCAGAAAATTACAACATTTCTCATGTGGTCAACTTTCATTGACAGAAACTTCTGCTTAACAGCATCTACGGAAATCTTTTCAACAACAGAAAACTCAAAGAAAGGAATCATCCCAGCTAAGTTTTCAATCTTAATCGACTGGTACACATTAGACACCTAGAAGAGGGAGGGTGAACAGGTTTAAGTACACATAAAACAGAAGGATTAAATAAGTAATCCACCAAAAAAAAATAAAAGACAAAGCACCTGTTGTAGCAACCTCAAGGTAGCTAACTTTTCAAGTGCTGGGACATACTGCGAAAAATGCACCTCTGGAACTGATGAAGCAAAGGTAAACTTACCCCCTAATTTTGAAATTTTATTCAGCAAGGGTAGTACTTTTAGTGCAAGATCAGACGGTAGAAATTCATGTTCCAAAAGATAGTAAATGTCTTTCACTTCTTGTGAAACGCAAGACATTACACCCTTTGATGCCTGCAATTAATCCAAACATAAGGACTTCAGAGAGTCAAAAGCACCTATTTATTGCAATAATACTATCCCAGAGGTCATCAAACCTCTGAACCTATTGACTATAGGTTCTATACACCACCAAATGGCTTAAGATAGATTAATTACATATAAATATAAATATAATTATAAATACAAATGTATGTATGTGTGTATGTGAAGGATTATATAAGTAATCCACACAAAAAAAAAAAAGCATTGGCATCAAGTCAAAATAAAATAAGGTGATAGCTGAATAACTAAATCAATTACAGTGAAAAGTTTAACTAAATCAATTACAGTGAAAAGTTTAACCAAATCAGTTGAAAAAGATGTAAAAATTAAAAATCACAACTAAAGCAATAACAGACATAAAACTCAGCATCAGTCTATCATAGAAAGTATTAAAATGATTTATATCATCAACGGAAAACATACATCCACAATTAACTGAAATAAAAATACATTGTTCACGATTTGAAAATCAAAATAACTAGAATAAAACGTTAATACCAAGTCATTTACAGAGTAAAGTTTAAATAATTAAAGCATGGTAACTAAAGCAGTTAGAGGTATGAACATCAACATCATTCTAGAAAATGTTAAGCTGATGAGATCATCAATGATTTATATCATCAACGAAAAACATACATCCACAATTAACTGAAACAAAAATACATTGTTCACGATTTGAAAATCAAAATAACTAGAATAGAACACCAAGTCATTTACAGAGTAAAGTTTAAATAAATAAAGCATGGTAACTAAAGCAGTTAGAGGTATGAACATCAACATCATTCTAGAAAATGTTAAGCTGATGAGATCATCAATGCACGACACACATGACATCCATAACATATCGAGATAAAATACACATTTCAGGATTCAGGAATTGTTTGAAGAATTAGATTCGTGTTTGTAATACACAATTGGGGTGAACTTATGTGTAAAGTAATTGTACTACTGGTACTTGACCGAGAAATCAACATAAATATGAGAATTTGATTAGAGTTTACTACAACAAATTATCTCATTAGAGTCCTTTTTCCATCTAATCCATGAAATATGACAATCAGATTAATGAAGGTATATGGAGGTTTAAATTATTACCACACAACAAATATTAACAACCAACACATGGAATGCAATAATAAAAAAAACATGGTACAATGGAGCACGGCAAAGTTTACAATGAGATGATGAGGAAATAAGTTTCAAACCAATATGATCAAGATCAACCACACCAAACACAAATTGAAAATTAAATGTGTACAGTTATTACAGTCCACAGTTAAGATGGAGTGGATATCCTATATAAGTCAATTTCTTACTTGAAATCCCGCTTTCAACAATACACATCAAAATAATAAAAATAAAAAATGACTGTAGAAAAAGGAATTTGTATAGAGATGTGATTCAAATAATGAGAATATCTATAATCAAAACAAAATTTTGAGAATATCTTACCAGTTCAGCAAGAAGTGATGACCTTGAGAGCTGGGAAAAACAAAACAGAAACATCAGCAAATTGTAAGATTTGCAAGCAAATATCAATATGCTATAGAGTTCAAATGAGGGAAAGTTAAATACCACTTCTCTGCTATCGGGCTTTGTTTCAAGATTAAAGCCTATGAGATTTGCCATCCTCAAATTTCGTTCCTTTTCATGCTCTAGTTCTAAATGAGATGCACCGTGAGTGCGATCATGAGGAGGGACTGAAAGTGCAGATAGAACAACAGATGAAGCTATCAACTGCAAATCCTTCTGACTCAGATTTTTGTTGAAACTTTTTTGTAACAAAAAGAGTTTGAACCAAGCATACGCATGATATAAATGACTTGAAGATATCCAAAATATTTCAGTCAACTTAACATAGTAAACCGTCATCAATGATGGTTTCGGTGTTTTCTTGACCATGCACATTAACCCGTGTATATCTTCAACAGATCTAAAGGCTTCCTGCATGCAACAAATTGTCAGGTCTTCCAACATTATTAAAACAAATAGCCTTTAGCTAAAAAAATGATAAGTTTCAAACCTGCCAGAGTTCAAGCTCAGTGGCAATTTTCAGCTGCTCAAATCTTGTATCAAGATACAATTGCAAGCTTTCAGGAGCAGAAAGATCAGGTCGGTCTCGTTGGTCCCGATATTTGTTAAGATTAGCCAAATGATTTCTAATGATTTCACAAAGCCTTCTGAACTCTGTTGTTCTTTTATATTGCTTACAAAACTGGAAAGCTCGGTGAGCTGTCATCTGCATGTGGCAACAGAGACTCGACCATAAGTTTGACATAACGCAATTGTGCATCCTAAATTATTGTTTTAGCAATAAAACATACAATAGGAAACGAAAAAGAAGAATAAGTTGATGAGTAACAGCAACAACATATCCAACGTGTCAAGCAATTAATTTCTACTAATCAGGATAACTGTAACAGTTAAATGGCTAAAACACTGGATTTTACATCAACAAAAGAGATAACTTGGAATATAAATATTTTATACTGCAATGACAATGGCCAAATATTGATTGATTAAGACAAGAAAATATTACAGCATATAAAGCTTCCAATTTAGAGTTGTTCCGCAATATCTCAAGCACAGTCCTGTAAGTTTCCCAAAGAAATTTAAACCATGGGGTAACAAGCTCCCGATCAGATCTATCCTTTCCCTTCTCGCCACTGACATAGCTCAGCATCAAGTCCTCAGGCCTTTTATCCGCCTCTAAGTCATCAACATCAAGGGCCTCTTCTAAGGCCTGAGCTTGGCTACGTGCTTGCTCTGCTTTCTCAGTAGACAAATGCATAAAATGCTTAATGACTTCCTCCAGAGAACTAACATTCACTTGCTGACATATGATCCGGTACTGAATAAGCCCGTCCTTAGCAAACCGTCCTTTCCTCATGTCAACACACAGCTCTACATACTTAAACATAATGCGTTCCAGAGTTTTTTGCCATGCTCGGTATCTTTTTGAAGTTATAAGGTCGTGCAGAGTCTGAAGAGCATCCTGCTTCTGCCCCACGTTGATCAATTCTGAACATCAAATTACAAGCAATTCAATCGCATTACTTTTTTATAAATAAATGAAAGCCAAGATAAAAACTAAAATCATCGTTTGAAACAAACCTTCTGCCCTTTTGAGGGCATTCTCGGGCTTCAAGAATGACGTCATATTGCAAATTCACGAAATCAAATCCCCTCTGCAAAATTAACGCCAAAAACACTAATAACAAAATTATCGCCAAAAACAACAGTAAAACACAAATTCATAGCAAAATTCACTAGAAAAAACGGCAAATCTAGCAGGATTAGAATCAAATTAAGCTGATGGTCTAGATAGCTAATAGCGGCCAATAGTAGCGCGATCGGGCGGTCAAGCGATGCCAGGTGCGGCACAAATCACTGTATCGGATGTTTCGGATGCATTTCACGAGAACAACAACAATGAATACAAAAATATATGGACAAAGAACCTGAAAAACTACAGTAGAAGATGAGGGATGGTGAAGAAGAGATGAAAAATTACAGTACCGAGGAGGATGAATCAGTGGCGTCGTTGATTACAGTAGCGGCTGCTTATTCTGCTAGGGTTACGTAAAGGAAAAACTAAAATTTCGCTGTGTTTCCGATAAGAACTAATACTCTGGGCCCGTAAAGCCCAATCTATCCATAAAAAAAAGTTGGGCCTCAAAACTTACGCTTTGTAAAAAAAACATTACTCTTTTGGTTCTTTTATAAATGTCATTTTTTAAATAATTGTTTTTTTAATTATCACTTGTAAAATTTATGATAGAATTAAATGCAATTTTGTCAAAATTACTTTTAGATAATTATTATAAAAAGAAAAAAATAAAATAAATTTAATAAATAATTAAGAATATTATAAATAAAAGGATAATTATTGTATGAAAAATAACAATATTGATTAGTTTTTTTGTTATGTATAAAAATTTATAAAATGACACTTAAAAAGGAACGGAGGGAGTAGTTGTCTAAAATAACACAAATACTAATAATAAAATACAGATTTATTAGCAAAAAAAATAAAGATAAAGAGTCATTACAAAATAAAATAATATTATAACAAATTTTACTTTCTATCAATATTTATGTACCTGTAAAAAAATTTATACATGCATGTAATATTTTAGATGTATTATAGAAAAATTCAAAACCATATAAAAATTTAACGGTTGTGTAAAATAATTTTATAAAAATTAATTCATATGCACTGTTGGTGTAAAAAATTTTACACTGGTAATTTATCACAACTATTTATTTGTATTGTTTTTTAAATAATTAAAATAAAAGTCAAACATTTTAAATAAATCAATTCTGATTAATTGACATTGGTAAAAAATCTTTACACTATCAACTTATATCAATTAAATTCAATTTTATATTGTGAGTATATTTATTAGAGGAAAGCAGAGTCGAAGATAAGAAACATGTGGGAAGGAAGTTGTTCCCGACTTAAAAGGAGGAATTCAAGGACAAGTCAAGGATGTCAGTGCATGATGATGCCATGCTAACTGAAAATTTCGAAGACACACAATCGATTCGTCTTTGGATATTACTTGCAATGTGGTTTATGTGTTACCTAGAGGGTACGATTAGATTACAGAGGTCGAAGAACCTGAGGATGTGATGGAGATTGAAATGGCTAGGCACAAGCCAGCATGCTATTACATCATGAATAATGGTTGCATCGAGAAGCAAAATACCTTTTTTGAGAGGCCAGACGAAGCAATGAGAATTCATTTAAGGCCTCTATTTATTAGAGGAAAGGTGGAAAATGTGACAATCAATAAGATCTTGATGTACGGTGGAGGTGCAGTCAATTTGATGTCGTACTTTATGTGGCAAAAAATGGGAAAGTTTAACACAGACCTTAAGCCCCACAACATTGTCTTGTCAAACTATGAAAGAAAGATTGGACGCACTATAGGAGTGATCTAGGTGGAATTCACAGATGGAACCATTACCAGACCAACCATGTTCATATTGATTGAATTGGACGCTAATTATAATTTGTTATTGGGCCGTGAGTGGATCCATAACATTAAAGTGGTACCATCTTTTATGCATCAGAGGATTACTATATGGACAAAAAATGATGGAATTATGGAGAATATTAAGGCACATCAAAGTTATTTCTTGGCTGAAGTGAACCACGTGGATAAATGCAATTTCGACAAGAATCTGGCAAATATCGCCCCTTGTAGACCTGTAAATTTTCCATCTGATCCTAATGATGTTGCATAGTATTCCCTTCATTTACACCAAACTTATGGGTTTCAATGGGATAGAGTGGTTGTAGGTGAAGACCTCGAGTTTGAAGGGACATCATACATCCAGCCAACTGGTCGGGGAGATGAATTTGATGATTATGTCTTAATCCAATACATTAGAGAACATTTCGGCTTATGTAGCCGAAAACGGATTAAAAGCGGCCTTAGAGGCCGAAATTAGACACATGGATGTCGTAGCCAAAAAAAGATGATGTGCAACTTAAGGGGCCTGGCATAGACTTTGAACCAGAGCCACCTGATAAGGATAAGCAAGAAGTGCAAGGCTCGATGTTATTTATGACGAAGAACCTCTCGGATTCGAAAGGGACCCGCTGGCACCCAATATAAAGATGCTAGTGCAAGATCCTTTGGAAGAAGTTGACTTATGAGAAGGTACAGAAAAAGGATAACTTACTTAAATGCTAACCTTGGCCCATAACTCAAAGTCGAAGTGATCCAGCTTTTAACGGAGTATAAAAAGTGTTTTGCTTGGGATTACAACGATATGTCGGGATTGAGTATGGAGTTGGTCGAACTAAAATTGTCCATCAAATTTGGAAGAAAACCAATTAAGCAAACTCTAAGAAGATTTACACCGAAGGTTTTATCCAAGATCAAGCAGGAAGTCGAAAGACTTTTTAGATGTAAGTTTATTTGTACAACTAGATATGTTGAGTGGATTGTGAACATAATCCATGTCCTTAAAAAGAATGTGACTATGAGGGTTTGCGTCGACTTCAAGGGTCTGAACGTTGTGACCCTAAAGGATGAGTATCCAATGCATGTGGCAGAAATGCTCGTCGACTCCGCTGCAGGCCACAAGTATCTTAGTATGCTCGACGAATACTCTGGCTATAATCAGATATTCGTTGTTGACAAAGATGTGCCAAAAATGGAATTTCGATGTCATGGGGCTTTGGCACCTATGAATGGGTAGTGATGCCTTTCAACTTGAAAAACGTCAGGGCAACCTATCAAAGAGCAATGAATTTGATCTTTCATAATTTATAGAAAATTTTATGCAAATTTATATTAACGGTATTATTGTTAAGTCTGTTTCTAGAGCCAAACACATAAACCATATTCGACAGGCATTCGAAAGAACGAAGAAGCATGGTCTAAAAATGAATCCACTAAATTGTGAGTTTTGTGTATAAAATGGATATTTCTTAGGCTTTGTAGTTCACCAGAAAGGAATTGAAATAAATCAGAATAAGACAAAGGCAATTTTGGAGCCGAAGGCGCCATCGACGAAGAAGGAACTGCAGTCGTTGTTAGGGAAGATTAATTTCTTAAGGAGATTCATTTCAAATCTAAACGCCAAGAATCAAGCCTTCTCTCTTTTACTTCGATTAAAGAATGGAAGCTTCAAATAGGGGCAAGCACATCAAGAAGCTTTTGATAAAATCAAGGAGTATCTTGTGCATCCTCTCTTTCTTTCGCCACCTTGTAGGAGTATAAGATTGTATATTTTTGCGTATGATGTAACCATAGGGAGCATGCTTGCTTAAGAAGATGAAAATGACGTCGAAAGAGCTATTTACTATCTTAGTCAAGTTCTTAATGACGCAGAAACTAGGTATATCCTGATTGAAAAGTTATGTCTTTATCTGTTTCTCATGTACAAAGTTGAAATATTATATAAAACCAGTTGATGTTTATGTTTCTTCCCATTATGATATCGTTAAACATATGCTTTCTAGGTCAGTTCTTCATAGTCAAATTGGAAAATGACACTCGCTTTAACGGAGTAATCATTAACTTATGTGCCTCTAAAGGCCATGAAGGGACAAGTGGCTGCGGACTTTATAGTCGACCATTCTGTAGTCGAAAGTCCCCAAAATTATCTCGAACTTGAACCTTGGAAATTATATTTTGATAGTTCAAGTTACAAAGATGGGCCAGGTATTGGGATACTGATTAGTTGTCCTGATAAAATCCCAACGAGATTCAAGTATAAATTTGAAGGGCCTTGTTCGAACAACGAGGCTGAATACAAGGCTTTAATAGTTGATTTTGAAATTTTGTTGGAATTGGGGGCAACTAGAGTCGAAATCGTTGGCAACTCTGAATTAGTTGTGAAGTAGATAACGAGAGAGTATAAATGCATCAAGGAGAATTTGATAATGTACTATGTAATAACCAATAGATTATTATGGAAGTTCGACAAGGTGAGTATCAGGCATATTCCTTGACTTAATAACCAGGAGGCCAATGACTTGGCTTAAATTGCTTATGGCTACAAGGTTTCGAAATAAAAGTTAAAAGATGTGATTGAGGTTCGAGGAAAGTATTAGCAACAAGGTTGTATCCAAAGGACTTAGAAGTAAGAAAGTTAGGTTACGTGGATGATGAGATTTCTGAAATCATGGCAATCAAAAATCTAACGGATACATATGGGAGGAAACCTATTGTGGACTACTTGAAGAACCTGACATCGTTTGTGGAACGAAAAGTTAAGTATTGATATCTAAGTTATAGTTTGATGGGGAATGAATTGTTCAAAAAGACGCATAAGAGAGTCTTACTTAAGTGCCTTAGTGAAGTTGAGGCATATTTAACTTTATCGAATATCCATAGTGGGGCATGTGGCGCTCACCAAATAGACCATAAGATAAATTGGCTTTTGTTTCGACAAGGAATGTATTGCCCCACTATGCTGAAATGTTGCACTGAGTTCGCCACATGGGTGCCAAAGGCATGCAGGTATACAACATGTTCCTGCAGGCGAACTGCGTTCAATTGTGAACCCTTTGCCTTTTAGGGGTTAGGCGTTAGATTTGGTTGGTGAATTTGACCAACGTCTTCTAAAAGCCATAGGTATATCTTAGTGGGTATTAAATATTTTACAAAGTAGATCAAAGTCATTCCTTTGGCAAAT